ATTACCAAGTACTTTTCTTCCTTAATATCAACTGAAACTTTCACACATTCCTCCTAGACCGACTTATACCTGTATTCATTTTATTAAAATTGTGAATGTGAAATTTAGATTGATTGAGAAGGGGCATGTACTATCACTTGATGTGCTGTTATGTGATTTGTAAATTAGAATATAAACCATTAAATGTTGGTAATAGCTCACTGATATTTCTGGAAATTTGAATTCCTAACCATTTATTTAACAGTGTAAAATTGAAATGGACTACTTCACTTCACTGAGAAGTATTTTATTCGTCACAACAGTCACTTGTTAAAGATATATTTCTAGTTTGCCACGTGTATTATCTTTGAAATAGTTTTGTAAGGGTGACATCTAGAATATAGTGTTTCACTAGTATATATACGAGTCTAACCTTATATTTGGTGCCAGAATCATGATGTTACAGACACAGATGCTGAAACACTCACAATACTTGCTGAATTATTTTTGGAGAAAGCTGCTCAATGGGTTGAAGTTGTTCATGCCATCAATTACATTGATGTGCTAAGATCTTTTGCTGTTACTTCTAGCTTTTCTTGTGGAACTATGTCTAGGCCTGTCATAGTGCCAGCATCAAAAGGTACAAGTAAAGATAGTGGAGTGCCTGTGCTCAAAATGAAGGGACTATGGCATCCATTTGCCCTTGGAGAGAGTGGAGGTGTGCCTGTTCCAAATGACATAATCCTGGGTGAAAACGAAGACAGGCAACATCCCCGCACATTGCTTTTGACGGGGCCAAACATGGGTGGAAAATCAACACTTTTGCGTGCTACCTGTCTAGCTGTTATTATGGCCCAGGTTCTCATCCTTCTCCATTCTTCCAGCTTCTTAAAGTTTGACAATACTTTTTTTAAACTGTTGATGATGCCAATTAATCCAACCTTTGGATACAAAGAAAGCAAAGCTGCAACAAATCTTCGTTAGATTTTTCTGATGACTCTTATAATATATTATGTCTCTGATGTCTTTGCAGTTAGGTTGCTACGTCCCTTGTGAAAATTGTGTTCTCTCAGTTGTGGATATCATCTTCACACGGCTTGGAGCCACAGATAGAATCATGGCAGGCGAGAGTAAGTACTCTAACAACATCAAATGTGATTTATGGTTGCTTGACACACATTCACATTGGAGATGTTGCCTACCCACTAATGCTTCCATTAGAGTTTTCCAGCTCTTCGAATCCAGGATTGTGGTTCTAAAATATGTTCATGTGTATTGGTGGAGATCACCTCATGACTTTATGAATAGCCAATTCCAACAAACTTTGTTTTTGTTCTTAGGTACCTTCTTTATTGAGTGTACAGAAACTGCATCAGTGCTTCATAATGCCACTCAAGATTCCCTTGTTATACTTGATGAATTGGGTCGGGGAACAAGCACTTTTGATGGCTATGCCATTGCATATGCTGTGAGACTCTACTCTTTACTAAGTCTTTCTCAAATGATATTTGGTTCTATTTCTTAGTACATTCTATACTTACTGTGAGTTGGACATACTCAAATTTAGCAATAACTGATGATTCTATTAGTATTGTTCCTTATCCTGTAATTTTGCTCCATGCACAACAAAACATTTTTAGGCTCTTCCTAATTCTATGGATATGGATGTGCACAGGTATTCCGGCATCTGATTGAAAAGGTTAACTGTCGCTTGCTATTTGCCACACATTACCATCCGCTAACAAAAGAATTTGCCTCTCATCCACGGGTCACAATGCAACACATGGCATGCGCTTTCAAGTCAAAATCCGATACCTTTTCCAAATGTGATCAAGAGCTAGTCTTCCTATATCGGCTTGCCTCAGGAGCATGTCCTGAGAGCTACGGATTGCAGGTTGCCCTCATGGCTGGAATCCCAGAAAAAACTGTTAACATTGCTTCTAAGGCTAGCCAACAGATGAAAATATCAATTGGAAAAAGCTTTCAGTCAAGTGAACAGAGATCAGAGTTTTCAACTCTTCATGAAGAATGGTTGAAGACTTTGATGTCTATCTCAAGGATAGAGGATTGTGAAGCTTTTGATGATGATGTTTTAGATACACTTGTCTGTTTGAGGTATGAACTACAAACTTCGTTTAAATCTAGAGATCTAGAGCACTATAGGTAGGGCTACTAATCTTACTTTTACAATATTGCTTGTAAATCTGTACTTATTTCATTAGTGACTAAAGAACACTTGTTTTCATTTTGGGATATACTGGCTTGTTTCTCCTTTTTTGGGGAGAAAGTTGAACAATTGTAAGTTATGCAATAACATACCCTGCACTTATGATATTAGATTTCAGTATTCTCATGTTGCCATGTCGTTCTTCCATCTCTAAGAAACTATAAAACACATTTCAAATGCTTTCGTCATCATTATGAAGATAACTTTGACACCTCCTAAGATACATAATTGTTTCTAATACATCAACAACATGCTCTAAAGATCAATGAACACAGGCTATTGAAACCTAAGCAGTTAAGGTATATTATTACGTCTTTTAACAAAATTATATATTTATAAATTGGTTTGTAGTAAGAAATAACTTTTTTCTTATTAAACAACAATGTACCTTTTTTTTACAAACTTATGGTATAAGATGTAATATACAAACAGATTTAAATTTATTACCAATTTGAATTATTTTTCTCTTACATGAAGAAATATAGCTACATTTTTCCTTTATTGAGTTTTCTTTTTGTTTGTTTGCATAGTTTCAAATGAGCAACAATTTTTTATATGTATTTAGAACAAATACTGCACCCCAGTTATTCATTAGAGAACATTGAATATTTATGTCAATATTTTAGACTATTATTATAAATTATATAGTATTTACATTTTCAAAAGTGATTTAAAAACCTCCATGTTTTTTTAATTATAAAAAGTATGTATGAGTTAAATTTGGGAGAATTGCTAAAGTTGTAAAAAATTCTTAGGTTTATTTGTATTGAGAGGTACTTATTTGTACACCATTTTTATACTTCTAATTATAAAAAAAAATTTACTTTCAATTAAGGAAAATATACTTATATTAGAGCATTTATGTTAATATATTAATTCATTATTAAGCATTCCATGTTTTATAATTATAAAAAAATCGTGTGAGTTAAATTTGAACGAATTATTAAAGATAAAATAAGTCACAAGACTCGGAATATTTATAGAAATATTTATCACCAAATTGAGAGGTAAACATTATTACTATTACTTCTAAATATATATTTGTTTCTAATCATTACAAAAATGATATTTATTAACTACGGTAGAAATTCTTTAAATTAATATTCAGTAAATTAATAAATTTTCTAAAATGCGATAAAATGATAAGATAATAATTTTTTGGGAGATCTCTTTATAATTTTTAGTCCCAAGAAAATTATAAACTAATAATTCATAGAAACTGAAAAAAAACTCTATTTGGAGTTCATCTCTAACTTTTTTTATTGCATCCAATAGCTCATGTGTTGTATTTTTGTATTGTATAATAAAGTTGTGAAGAGTCTTCGACGCCATAAGTGTTTCCTTTCGCGTAATATGCTCCAAAGACACCATATCATCTTCACCGTCATCCTCTACATTGTGCTCAATAATAGTATCCATAATATCTTCTAAACTCTGAACCTCCGAACATGCTTCATTTTCACCGGGATAGTTTATTAGATTGTCGATATCCATCTTATTACGATAACCACATTGATTGATCATAGTCTCGAGGTCTTGAGTTTCTTCATCAAAAGTGGATTCATCCAAATTTCTTGCAACATCACTAGCTGATCGAATTTTATAGTGTCAGAAGCAATTCACTATTGTTTCTTTTCAAACATCTATCGTTCAAGTTGGGATTGCCAAATTGATAGCATCAAAGACATTTATCTTCCCTGAATCAGATTGTCCCACCTCATAATCTTCTAATATTTTACGGTAAAACCTTCTACGATAATGCATCTTGAAAGCTCTTATTATCCCAACATCGCAAGACTGACTAATTCACTGCAACACAATTCTAAGAGGCATAAACTAATTTGTTTTTTTGTTTGATATGTACAGTATAATTACTTAAAAATTCTTTAAATTAATAATTATTAATTTATCAATAAATTAATAATTCTCTAAATTAATAATTTCTCCCTGACATTATTAATTTAAAGAGTTTCTACTGTTTCTATTAAATATATATTAAATTCAAAATTTGAGCAACCATCCATTTAATAAAAAATATGTTTTATTTCTAAATATGTTTTCATTATTTCTAAATCAGTGACCCCTATAACTAGTTTTATATTTTCATTATTTCTAAACAAATAGAGTAGAAAAATATGTTTTAATTATATATTAAATTCATATTAGAAATGTTTAATCATTCTAATAGTACTAGAAAGAATTAAATGTGATATAGAAATTACTTATCACATTTGGTTGATAAGTTCATCTTAAGTTGTTGCTTTACAATTTAATAAATAAATTAATAGTAACACTTTATACACAAGAATAAAGTGATTATACAATTTTAAAATCAAATTTAACGAGCATTTTGTACATTAAAATCAAAACAAAATTAATTTAATGAGATTCAATATTCAATATATCAAATTATAATTTAACAGTAAAAATTTGCATGCAACCGGACAACACATGTATCTCAAACTAGTGAGAATTTATTTGTAAATACAATTTTAGTATAATATGATCATGGTATCCGACCTTAATTAAATAAAACTTTCCTTAAAATTAGAAAATCACACTTACCACAATACCACTTCTTCACCAAATTATCCGAAAACATTTCCCCCATAACATTTGTATCCTCACAAACAAACGAAACTCTCTCCAAAAACAACTTGGTCTTCTACACTCTCCACAAAACTCTCCATAATTTCTGTATCCTCACAAACAAACCAAACTCTACGAACTATCACTTTCTTGCACATCAAGAAACTGTGTATGAAACTCACATTTTTCATCATCTCTTTGCAAAATGGATACCGTAGATGATTTCACAAACGAAGAACTCGAAGATTACCCAAACCAAAAGAAAAAAGACACAGCAAAATTCAAAAGAAGACAACTAGGTTTATCATGCATGTTAAACACTGAAGTTGGTGCAGTTCTAGCAGTTATACGACGCTATCCTGAATTCAGTCCTCTCTATAACACATCTTCACCTGAAGAAACCTATGATTCTTCCATTGTTAGTTCGTTAAGGTCGCTTAGATCTCTCATTTTCAATCCTCAACAAGAGTGGCGGTTTATCGATCCTTCCATTTATCTTTCGCCTTTCCTTGATGTTATTCAAAGCGATGATGTTCCCGCGTCTGCTACGGGGGTCGCGCTTTCGTCGATTCTTAAGATGCTTAAGTTTCAACTGTTTGATGATAAGACTCCAGGCGCGAAAGAAGCTATGGAGGCGATTGTGGCGGGGATTACTAGTTGTAGGCTTGAGAAAACTGATCCTGTTTCTGAAGATGCTGTCATGATGAAGATACTTCAGGTTTGTAGCATAGAGACACAGACACCAACACGACACTAACCTTGTCATAAAAGCATCGGTGTCATATTGGTAGCACAAACATTTATCACATTAGTACATAAGCTAGTTCTATAGTAAAACAAAATATATAAAACAATTTAAATTTTTTTATTTATAAAAATAGTTTATACGAGTTTATTCATTAGCGTTTATTTTGATAAGTAGTTGCGCTATAAGCTGCAAATAAGATGTTTATCCAATCAGACTCTAAGATGGTAACTAAAAGCTTATATGCTACAGGTTTTGGCAGGGATAATGCAACATAAAGCATCAAATTTGCTCAATGATCAAGCTGTTTGCACACTTGTAAATGCATGTTTTCAAGTTGTGCAACAATCTGTGAACCGAGGAGATTTACTACAAAGAAGTGCAAGATACACAATGCATGAACTTATTCAAGCCTTGTATTCAAGGTTACCCGAAATCGAAGGTAATGATAGAGAAGGAGATTCTGAATCAGACATAGAAGATGTTGATGATAGCGATGGTTTGGAATCAGGATATGGTGTTCGTTGCGCGATTGATATATTTCATTTTCTGTGTTCATTGTTGAATGTTGTGTCTATAGTTGAAGCAGATGGTTCAACTACTCATACAGCTGATGAAGATGTTCAGATTTTCGCGTTGGTTTTGATTAACTCGGCTATTGAATTGAGCGGCGATAAGATAGGGAATCACCCTAAGCTTTTGAGAATGGTTCAAGATGATTTGTTTCATCATTTGATTTACTATGGAACTTGGTCTAGTTCGTTTGTCTTGTCGATGATTTGCAGCACCGTTTTGAATGCTTATCACTTTCTTCGAAGGTAAAAATTCGAATGACAGACGAAAAATGATTTATTTACTTTAAGAACACTTTTATTCTTATTATCTTTGATTTGCTTCTTTTTTCGCAGGTCTCTTCGTTACCAATTAGAAGCATTCTTTGGACATGTACTGATTAGAATCGCGACTCTTGGAACCACGATTCAGCTACAAGAAGTTGCGGTTGAAGGTATAATAAACTTCTGCAGACAACCAACATTCATAGTTGAAATCTATGCAAACTACGACTGCGATCCGTTTTGCCGGAACATATTCGAAGAAGTAGGAAGATTGCTATGCAAGCATTCGTTTGCGTTGAATGGTCACTTAACAAGTTTACACATTCAAGCCTTTGAAGGACTATTGATCATGATTCACAACATTGCAGATCATATTGATAAAGTTGATGACAGAGCTCCTTTAGGTCCTTACACAGCTCAATTGGTTGAGTATATACCTTTTTGGGAGGAAAAAGAAAAAGATGATGATGACTTAGAAGCTTGGGTCGAGCATGTACGAATCACGAAAATACAGAAGAAGAAGTTGCTGATAGCTGCAAATCATTTCAATAGAGATAACAAAAAGGGTTTAGAGTACTTGAAACATGCTAAGTTAGTATCTGATCCTGTTGATCCGAAGGCGTATGCTTACTTCTTTCGGTACACGCCTGGTTTAGACAAAAAGGCGATAGGCGAATATCTTGGTGATCCTGATGCCTTTTACCTACAAGTTCTTAAGGAGTTCACAGACACTTTTCATTTTAATGGTATGGGACTTGACCCTGGATTGAGATTTTATCTTGAGAGTTTTAGGTTACCGGGCGAGTCGCAGAAGATTCAGCGCGTGTTAGAAGCATTTTCTGAGAGATTCTTCGATCATCAATCGTCAGATATATTTGCAAGCAAAGACACTGTTCTTATTTTATGCTATTCCTTAATCATGCTTAACACTGATCAACACAATCCACAAGTTAAGAAGAAAATGACAGAAGAAGAGTTTATCAAAAACAATAGAGCAATCAATGCAGGACAGGATTTACCTAGAGAGTATCTTTTAGAGCTTTTTCAATCTATTGCTAGCAATGCAATTGTATTGGATCAAACTATTGTGTCATTAGACATGAGCCAGAGCAAGTGGATTCAGCTCATAAACCGATCGAAAGTTACACGGAGTTTTGTACAATGCGAATTCGATCATAGAATTTGTAGAGATATGTTTGCCTGCATTGCCGGTCCTTCGGTAGCCGCTCTTTCATCTTTTTTTGAACATGCAGATGAAGAGGAACTCATGCATGAGTGCATTGAAGGGCTATTCTCGGTTGCGAGAATCGCGCAGTATGGAATAGAAGACACACTTGATGAACTAGTAACATCATTTTGCAAATTCACAACACTGCTAAATCCTTATGCTTCAACAGAAGAGACCATGTTTACATTCAGTCATGATTTAAAGCCAAGGCTAGCAACAGTTGCTGTATTTACCTTAGCAAATGATTTCCGAAACTCGATTCGAGGAGGTTGGAAGAACATAGTAGATTGCTTGTTGAAACTCAAAAGGCTCAGATTGCTCCCTCAATCAGTCATTGATTTTGATGTGCCAGCAGACGCACCAATAACGCCCGGATCAGGTGCGTTTTCTCCAACCGACGATAGTAAATTCGGATCTCATCGGTTTCCTAGCATCATGACTCGTCTGTCGCTTCTTTCGCAAGAAAACACAGAAGACGGTTTGACACTTGGTAGCGAATTCGAACAGAATCTCAAAATGATCAAAATGTGCAGAATTGGTAGCATCTTTGGAAGTAGTTCAAACATTCCAAAAGAATGTTTACAAAACCTCGGTAGATCGCTGGTATTCGCAGCAGCCGGAAAAGGCCAAAAGTTTAGCACGCCGGTCGAAGAAGAAGAAACTGTTGGATTTTGTTGGGATTTAATCACTGCAATATCTTTAGCCAATGTCCATAGATTCCAACTATTTTGGCCAAGCTTCCATGACTATCTCCTAGCAGTTGCTCAATTTCCAATGTTTTCGCCAATTCCATTCGCGGAAAAAGCACTCTTAGGCCTTCTCAGGGTATGTCTCAAACTCTTTTCTGCACAAAGAGAAGATAAACTAGCTGAAGAGTTTATTTTCAAATCCATAACATTAATGTGGAAACTCGATAAAGAAATACTCGACATGTGTCACGAGATCATATCGCAAACGATGAGCAAAATAGTCATCGAATACCCCGCAAATCTGCAAACACAAATAGGATGGAAATCAGTACTTAACCTGTTATCAGTTGCATGGAGACATCCTGAAACTTACGACTACGGAATCGAGGCATTGATATCTTTATTCTCCGAAGGCACTAATGTAACACGAAACAACTACGCGTACTGCATTGATTGCGCATTCGGTTGTTTCTTAGCGAAAAACAGTCCAATAGAGAAAAAAAAGAAGATACTCGATCTATTAGCCGATTCCGTACACCTGTTGATTCAATGGCACAGATCAATATACTCAGATCCAGGTAGTAATGTTAGTGCAGCAAGCATCAATAGTAGTTCATCAGCGGAAGACAATTATCGAGGTCCTTCCAACGCAAACTATAACATGAACCTATTTGTTAAACTCGGCGAAGCGTTCAGAAGAACGAGTCTATCAAGACAAGAAGAGATAAGAAACCATGCAGTCTATTCACTTCACAAAAGTTTCAACTTAGCAGAAGAAATGCTATATGTATCATCAAACTGCATAAACTATTTCAACCTTGTGATATTCGCAATGGTTGACGAGTTACACGAGAAAATGCTGGAATATTCGAGAAGAGAAAATGCTGAGAGGGAAATGAGAAGCATGGAAGGAACATTGAAACTTGCAATGGAGTTATTATCAGCTATGTATTTACAATCATTGAAACAGATATCTGAGAGTCCTGCATTTAGAGCATTTTGGTTAGGTGTGTTGAGAAGAATGGATACATGCATGAAAGCTGATTTAGGACATTATGGTCCTTCATCGTTGAGTGAAATTATACCTGATTTGTTGAAGAAGATTATAACACAAATGAAAGATGAAGGGATGTTGGAGCCTAGAGAAGATGATGATATGTGGGAGATTACTTATATTCAAATTCAATGGATTTGTCCTCCTCTTAAGGATGAGTTGTTTCCGTTGTAGAAACATGATTATATATGTAAAAGAAACATGATTTGGAACCATTTTTTTACAACATTTAAGGTACTAGTTTTTATTGGACGTTGATGTTATTTTCATTTTTAGATAGTTGAATTAGATTCACAATGTTTGTTTCTTATACAATAATGTTCCCAAGCCTTTGTAACTTAGATGCACATAACTTAGAGGGTAGAGATGAGATCAATTTTAAACTTTTGTGTGAAGCCTTAATAAGTTTTTCTTATGAAAAGGCTAGAGTTTGCGTACAGTACAGTAAGGTATGTGGTTCTATATGGTTAATATGTTTTTGATGATGTCAAAGGAGAAAAAAATGTAACTATCAAGAACATTATTATCAGCGATTGAAGAAGAAATAATAACTTCAATAAAAAAGCTGACATGTTTATGATGATTGACTTAAAAAGATCGAATACAAATAAATAACATCAAAAAACATAATTATATACCAAAAGCTCGTCATCTGATCAAGCGCTCAAGTTTAATATATTTCTAGGATCAATTATGAAAATAAATTTGTTACTCTCCGAATACTAAAGTCATATTACACACTCGCAAAAATTTGTTTCAGAACTTCATATAATTACAACTTCTTTTGAAAAACACTTTGGAACTTATCCAAAACCTTTTTGAACTAAATATAATAGGTTAGGAAGTGTTTATAATTGATTATGAAGCAAAATTTTATTTATAATTGATTATGGTAGTTGTGTAATCGATTATGAGCTGCAATTTACTTAGTAATTATTCCGTTCAGGAACCATAAATAGATACAAGTTGAAAACTGTTGATCTTGAACGGTGGTTCCGATCTCCTTTATAGTGGTACATAGTAGACTTGCATGATTGATACTCCAACACCCAAGTCAGTTCAAGATTTAAGATAAGTGTAGTAAAAAGTATAGATAAGATATTGTACCTTTCTTAATGCGTGTGAACTAATTTTATATTTTAGATCAAGTGGAGTGGGTTTGAGATGAATTGGATCGTAGTCATTTGGGACTTTGACCAGCCCAGAATAATAATCAATTATGAAGATCTATTAATTGGTTATGGTTCATATTCGATAAAAGAGAAGTGTGGGTACGTCTGCGCCTAATTCCAATGAAATTAGGATAATTCTTACTATACAAAATTGTTGATACAAGAGAAGTGTTCAAGAGCAACTCCAGAAACCCTAAGCTTATTGTTGATTCAACCCCTTCTCCTCTTTTGATCTTAAGAGAAACCAAGACACAACAGATGAAAAATAACTATCTGGATCTTTCTACTCCTTTGAATTCTTTATCTCTAAAGCTTTCGCGCACACTCAATCTCAAACTATTGCAATACAAGACTTCGGTTCTACCTGGTACTCCAAGTTACTTCCTTGCAAAGATTTCAAACACTCCAAGGTTCCTTGCAAAGATTTTAAGCACTCAAAGATTATTCACTTTACCGAAATTACCTCTCGAACATCTTGCAAGAAAACACCTAAATCAACCAATGATCTTGAAGGACAAACCCGAGGTTTTCCCTGGAAGAAAACCCATACAAAACTCCACCCAATACACAATTGGACACTAGCAATCTTCGTCTAGATGGCACCCCAATGAAACATCGTTACAATGTAATGTCAGTGTGTATGCATAGATTGGAGATTGAAGATGAAGAGAGAAATAGGCTAATTTTGTGGTTTTCAACACATTATGAATGATGCATGAAAGAGTATATATAATGTTGGAAATATTAGGGCAAAGGAAATAGGTTTAGAAATGAAAGAATAAAAAAATTGATAAAAAATAGTCAGCATGTATCGACCTGTATATCGAATGTGTCAACACATACTTTAATTTTAAACTGTATGTGTCGACATGTTCAAACTTATGTGTCCACCCAAAGAAGACAGAGGTTGCATGCTTTATAACGATAGCAAATGTGTCGACCTGAAATGTGAGTGTGTCGACACATAAAATAAAGATTTCTGCAAATTTAGAAATGCTTCAGTATGTGTCATCCTATATGATATATGTGTCGACTTGAACGTTACAGAGACATACAAGCTTAAAAAATAGGTTGAATGTGTCGACCTGAAAACGGATGTATCGACACATGCAACGAAAATATCAGCAAACATGACTTTTAATGAGTTGGCTTAACTTTTGAGATGACTTTGAATGGTTTCCAAACTTCCTACGATGTCTAAATTACTAGGGTGCCATACTAAATTCAGAGATAATGACCAACAAAAGAATTGCAATATTCTCGTATTTTTGACATCATTCAAAACCCTAAAAGGAATAAGTTTCACTCACAAAATCCCTTTTTTTGATGATGGAAAAAAATGTGATGAGACAAAGATGCTCCTCCTGAATATATGCTTTCATTCTTGATCTTTGCATATATCTTCTCCCCCTTTAACAACATAAAAAAGAGACAAAGAGCATAATTAATAGTATCTTATCCTTTAATTTCCAACAAAATATACAACATTTCAATGACTCTTTTGCATAGTTAGAGTATAAAGATGCATACATCAATGCGTATATGTTATAACACTACGTGCATAAAATAATAGATAAACAATAAACAGATTCATAACACAAATCAATCAAAGTTGCACATATTGTTCAAACACACAAGAAATGGAAATGAAGGTACATGAAATCAAAACTACAATACGATGTTCTTAAAATGAAATTTAAAAAAAATGAAATGCAACACATCAATTTCCATCATTTCCATCACGACGCCTTTGACAAGTTCTTCCACACTGTGATCGGTGGATCTGGAACTGACTGTTTTAAAGCTGGTTCGCGAAATGTCGCAGAAGCAAGAGTCGCCACCGTCTTTTTATTTTCTCCAAATGGAAAGGACAAAAGCACAGAAAAATTCCTTTAAAGAGATTGCTCTCGGTTCGGGAGGTAGGTTATAGAAAGGGAAGGTGTTAGCACCCTTTCTATCCATGGTTATCCATGGGCTCTTAGATACTTGCTCAATGTGTTTTCACAATGTTTGTTTGCTTTTCAATGTGGGTTTCAAAAATATTCTTTGAAAAGTTTCAGTTCAACTCGTACGTCAGAGTGTTTGAAAAGTTTGTTTTGAAAGTTTTTGAAAGTGTGTTGGTGTGAAAAGAGTTTTTGTTTTGAAATTAGAGCAAGTATCCTTGAGAACCTACCTACCCTAAGGAATTCGTCTGTGTAAATGTCCTTTAAAGTAATGCCATCCCACCATTGAGAGGTAGGTAGCACCACCGTTGGAGGTGTTCGGGTCAATTCGAGTTTTAGGGACGTGGTGATCACCGGAGCAATGGGAAGACACCTTAGAAGCTACCCTCATGCCAGGTTCCCGGATCATGAGGACTTACTAAGACGTCCTCTACTCGACGATCACCTTTCGAAAGGCAACAGTGAGGCGTACCCTAGGGGTGGTGTGTGAATTGTGTGTCATTTTCAGTTTATTGTTTGTCTTGTCATGCATTGGTGATCTAACGATTCGATTTTATTTTTGGGCATTCATTCTTTCATGTTATTGTTTAACAGTTATAAAGTTGCGAAAAATAAATCTAAACTATTACAACTGGCGCGGGTCCACATCGCCAAAAAAAAACCGAACCCGATTTGACTGAAAATAAATAAAGCGAATAAATAAAAGTGCGAGAATTTTAAATTACATGGCTTTGGGGCATATACAGAATTATTTAAACAATATAAAATAAATGCGCGAAATAAAGAGATTAAACAAAACTAGGGCGTTGGACCCATTTACAAACAATTAAAATTAATCAAGGAATCTAAAATTAAAATTAAATGAAAAATGGTATTTTTGTGTTTTTTAGATTTAAAAGAAAAAAAGAAAAATTAACTAAAATTAAAATGCTAAACCCTAGTTCTAATGTTTTTTAAGTTATTAAGAAAAAGATTTAATTTCTAACCTAATTTAATTCTAAATTAATTTATGTACAATTTTTGATTTATGAAAATAAATAAATAATATTATTATTCTGAAAAAAGGGAAAATTAAAAAAAGAAAATAAAAAGTTATTAAACCTAAATTCTATTTTTTTGGATTTTTATTAAAAAGGATTAAAATTGAAAACCTAATTAAAACTAATTAATTACATGTAATTTATTTAAAAAAGTAATTAAAATAAAAATTATATTTTTTATGGTCTTTTCTGATTTTTGAAGGTTTTTATATTTTGTTAAAAAAAATAATTAACTAAACAAATAGCAAATAAAAGAAATAAAAAGAAAGATTAAAGAAAGAATAAAAATTAATAAGGCAAACCAGGGGGGGTAGTCCCCAATTAGGAGGTTCAGATTTGAAAAGCCTGGCCCATTTGCTTGAAGTCCATTGACTTTTTTTGATCAGGTGTGATGCATTTGACTGAAGCATAGCATATTCTTCCATCCTTGCCTTTGATGTGGGTACTCAGGGACACGTGGATGAGCTGATTTTGAAGTGTATGGTAGGCATCAATGTTATGCTGCATGGGAATTCAAGTGGAAAAATAATATGAGAAATGTGTGAGACCTGGGGTTTGAACCCAGGTCATGAGAGTCCCTAGCGCGCGTCCCTGCCAGCTGAGCCACTTTGATTTCAATTAATATATAATAGTCAATAAACAATATAAAAGAAAAAGGTTAGTGCTATTTGAACTGCGCGCGAGATTCAAATGAACGTATCATTGGCTGCCACGACTTCTTCTTCCTCGCGTGCCCTGAAACATAAAACACAACAGCAACGGTTTTGAAGCGTTGTTTTAAGCATGCTATGGGAAAATAGCGAATAGCCATATAGGCTACATAAATTGTTCGCGATGGTTGTTTCTTGCTCGTTGGAACATGCTGGTTTTAATGACAATGGTCTTGAGCTTTGATTTTGCCTATTTTTGAAAGCCCTAAATTAGGAAAACTGTAACCCTAATATTCGAAAATGGTAGAGTCTCGTATGATCAACAAAAGTGAAATTAAACACCATGGTTAGTTCAGAAACATCATTGTG